ACACCGAGCCCTGACTGCACAGCAGGCCCTGTGCGAAGAGCTGCTGTACTGTCATTCAGAGAAAAGGTATTCAGACTTCACCAGAAACACTGAACTCGGTCTAAGCCTTAAAAAGTCTCACAGGAGGCCCCAGCTGGTTTGGCTCAGTGGATAAAACGTTGGCTTGTGGACTGAAGGGTCCCAAGTTCAATTCCAGTCAAGGGCACATGCCCGGGTTGCGGGCTCGATCCCCAGTAGGGGGTGTGCAGGAGGCAGCCAATCAATGATTCTCTCTTATCATTGATGTTTCTATCTCTCTCCCTCTCCTTTCCTGTCTGAAATCAATAAATATGTGTGTGTATGTGTATATATGAATTTACATTAGTTCACACAAACACTCCATCCATGCTTTTGTTCACACACATATATATACACATATACACACACACACACACACACACACACACATATGAATCTCACAGGAGAAGTCACACCTCTGTAAGTGATAAGTGACCTGCTGATGGGAGTGGAAACATGGGGCAACTTGGCAGCACCAACCACCACTTTACAAACACATCTATTCTGCTATTCCACCGTCTATTCCACTTACATTCATACAGGGCCATATGGACATCCACTGCAGCCATTTCTCACGGGGGAAAAACTGGAAACAAGCTAAAAGTCCATCAACAAATGAGCTATGGTGCGAACATCCAATGGACCACAGTTATCAAAAATAATAAAGAGCTCTCTGTGCTGAAATGAAAGGATCACCAGGCATGAGTATGTGAAAAAAAAAAGTCACAAAATGATACATATAATGACCTCTTTTTATAGCAATAATAGCTGGGAGGGGGGGGGGAGAGGAGGAGAGGGACAAAGGGGACTTTCCCCTTTCACTTATACATGTACGTATACACACTTCGAAGATCTTTGAGTTGTTTTTTGTTTTTTTTAAAATATTTATTTTATTGATTTTTTACAGCGAAGAAGGGAGAGGGATAGAGAGTTAGAAACATTGATGAGAGAGAAGCATCGATCAGCTACCTCCTGCACAGCCCCCACTGGGGATGTGCCTGCAACCAAGGTACATGCCCTTGACCGGAATCGAACCTGGGACCCTTCAGTCCCCAGGCCGACGCTCTATCCAGTGAGCCAAACCGGCCAGGGCGATCTTTGAGTTTTTACTAAAGTAACAGAACAAAAGTACAAAGTGATGCTGGAGCCAAGACATGGACAGCATAACTGGGTGCTTCCCACAAATCCTCTCAAACTGCAAGAAGGGCCACTAAGTGAGGGAAAAAGCACATCTTTTCTCTCGTTGGTCTCCATGAGCAGGTGGTGGTGGCATGACGTCCCAGAGACCAAGATTCAAGCCCAGCTCCGCTGTGACTGTTTGGATGACCCTGGGGAGCCACTGAGCTTGCTCAGAACAGTTTTCCCATTTGCATTGGACGGCAGAGGAAGAGAGCATGGGCTTGAGGACCGACAGACCAACCCTACCACCCACAGGCTGTGATCCTAGACCAGTGGTCGGCAAACGGCGGCTCGCGAGCCACATGCGGCTCTTTGGCCCCTTGAGTGTGGCTCTTCCACAAAACACCGACTTCTGCGCACGGGCCACGAAGTTTCGATCGCACTGTACGTGCGCGCCCGCACATGGTATTTTGTGGAAGAGCCCACTCAACGGGCCAAAGAGCCGCATGTGGCTCACGAGCCGCAGTTTGCCGACTACGGTCCTAGACTAATCACTGACCCTCTCAAAGTCTCCGTTTCCACCTATTATTTCAAAAGGGGGCGAGGAGATATCACCTACCCTCCCGGGAGGTTGCAGGGATCACATGATAACATATACAAGGTGTTGAATACAGTGCCTGGTGCATAGCATGTGCTCAGCCAGCAGCAGCTGCTGCCTTACTGCTGCGTGGGGGCGAGGACACTGGCGCTGCCTGCACGGTGCGTGTAGGGGATGATCTCATGGGCCGTGTGCTGGGAAGAGTGCGGGGTAGAGTGGGACCCAAAGCGAGGGGCGCTTACATAAGGAGTCCTCCCCACCCCAGGCCTCGGCTACCTACAGCTAAGACCCTAGCGGGGAGAACTGTGCGCTGCTGTCTTTACTCGTCCTACGGACAAAATTCGAGTCCGTTACTCATCTGGGTCCCCACCTCGCACAGATGGGAAACAGCACCTCGGAAGGAGAAAAGACGCGCTGGAAGAAGACACCGACTTCTGCTAGTAACACCCCAGCGGAGTCACCCCAGACTCCCCGCAACTCCTCACCGGACCCCTTCAACCCCTCACAACTCCGCGAGTGGACCCACACTTCTCAAAGGCACAACGTCCAGCCCAGCTCGTCAGGCTCCCACACGCCATCTCCGGGCGCATTCCTCTCCCAGCTGCTCCACGCACCGTGGGGTCCTTTCCCACGACGCCCGCAAACACGTCTCCCCTCGGGATGCCCCAAAGATGCTCCTTCCCGCTGCCTCCCTGCTCCACAAACCGCTCCCCCTGCCATCCCGGGGAGCCCCGGGCTCCCCACCGCCCCCTTCCCAGGCGCCCTGGTCTCCACGGTGCACATGCCTGCCCCCCGCTCCAGCCCAGGGCTCTCCACCGGCCACCCCGCACACCTCTCCCATCTGCGGGCCACCCCCCACCCCTCCACACCCCGGCCTGCAGCTCCTGCTCTCGGGCTCTTCCGCACGGGCTCCCGAGGGCACGACTTTGGGACAACTTCCCTACACTCGGTAGCCACACATGCCAGGGCTCCCCAAGTTTCCTCCCCAATGAGGAGGGCGCGCCCCATCATCCTGGAACCCCTCCAGACCCCCCACCCCACCCGCCGTGACCCCCGGGGTCCTCACACAGCCATCGTTGCGTTCCCTCTGTCCAAACTCCCCGAAACACCCCGCGTCCCCGGCTCCGCGACTTCCTCTCCCCACTCGGGCCTGATCCCGGCCCGACGCTCCCGCCCGCGGCGGGTCCCCGGTCCCCGGTCCCCCCGACGCCCCACCTCCCACCCGCCCCGGCTCGGACGGGGGTGGGCGTCCCTCTGCACCCAGAGCTTCTGCTCCCGCCACCAAGCCCCTCCGGCACCTCCTCCCGGCACCCGCGGCTGAGTCCTCCGGGCCCCTCCGGCCCCGCCACCGGTCCGCTCGCTCCCGCGGCCACTGCCAGCGCGTCTGGTCCCGGCGCCCCTTCCCTCCGCCGGCCGCGGCCCGGCCCTCCCGCCCCGGGGCCCCCGCCCGCCCGCCCCTAGGAGCCCCGGTGCCCCCGGGACCCACTCGGACGGCCCCCCACTCCCGCTGCGGGCCGGTCGCGGTCCCCGCCCGCCCCCCCGGCCGTCCCGGCGGCCATTGCTCCAAGATGGCGGCGGCGGCGGCGGCGGGTGAGGCCGGGCCGGGCCGGGCGGGGGTCGGGGTCCGGGGGGCGCTCACCTGCAGCTCGGCGCGCTCGGCCTCCCAGCGGGCCTTCTCCGCTTCGAAGCGCGCCCACTCGTGCTGGATAAAGTGCAGGATCCCGGGCAAGCTCAGGGGCTCCGGCCCCGCCGTGGGCCCGGGACTGCCCCCGCCGCCGCCGCCGCCCCCCTTCGCGGCCGGGCCGGGCCCGGGAGCGGGGGCAGAGACCGGGACGACGCCCGTCGGGCCGGGGCCCGTACCGGAGCCGAGCGGGCGGCAGGAGGAGGCGGCGGCGGCGACGGCGGCGGCCGCTCGCTCCTCCATCATGGAGGCCCCGGGCCGGCCCGCGCGCCCGCTGTGCCTCGCGCGCCTGCGCGGCCGCGCCAACCCCCCGCGCGCGCGCCCGGCGGGGGCGGGGGGCGGGGGACGGGGACGCGGCCGGGCGCGCGCCTCGCCCACCCGGGGGGGACTCCGCAGGCGCGCGCGCGGGTGGGCGGGCTGGGGGCGCGCGCCCGGAGGAGGGAGAGCGGGACCTGCGGGAGGAGCCGCTTTCTGCCCCCCTCCTGCCGCTTGGCCCCAGAAAGAAAGAGTCTAAACCTCCCCAGACCCGCTTTCACCCTCCGAGAGAAAGGGCGACCACCACGGGTGGTTTCCGCCGTGGCCCCATCCTCGCCGATCCTGGCCCAGGCTGGTTGCCTTGGTAACGCCTCCCCAGCCTAGAACACAAACAGCTTCTCCTCCCCTCCACTTCGGTGGTTATGGGGTCCCGAACCTCCCCTGTCCCTATACCAGGAGGAGGTTGCTAAGTCCCTGGTGGTCCTTCCGCCCGTACCCGCATTGGTTACTATGGCAACCTCAACTAGCACTCCCTCAGCCCCAAGGACACTGATGACTGAGGGGAACACCGCTTTCGCAACCCACCCTCCTAACCACCCAGTGGGCATTACCATGGTAACCATCTCCCCTCCTTTCCCATGGTGGGAAGTCCATGGACCAAACCAACCAGGTATTTTTATTTAGAGGAGAAGATGCTCTGCTGAGGAGTAGTTGCTATGGTTACAGGGCCTGACCCTCCCCAGGGAGGCAAGACAGGCAAGGCTAAGCCCTGGTTCCTATGGTAACAGAGGCAGTCTCCCTTCCAGTGACCCTAGGAACCAGACCCAGGAAGGTAGGAGACGTTTTTTAGGATTGTCTCAGGATGGAGTGTGTCTAAGGGAAGTGGGTGTCACAGTAACAGCTTCTATCACTTCCAACCCCACCTTTCTGGACACAGTCATGAGATAGGGATGGTGATAGGTTGCTATGGTAACTGACATCCTTCCCACCCATTCCTGAGGTGCTCCAGGTAGTGTCTGAACTTAGAGGACTTCAAGAAAAATGATTTATAGGTAAGATGAAGTTGTGCTCTACTGTGCAAAATTGGCTGATTTGGTATTTTCTGGTTCTCCTTCCCTCAGCAGCGCAGCTGAGTAGGGCTGAAACCGCCCCCCTGAAGCTCACCCAGCCTGCAACGTAGGAGGTAAGGAGTCTCTCAGTATCACCAGTACTCATGTGCACACTGCCCTTTCCTCGTCCCCAAAGGCTTCCCCACATATCCTCTTTACCCATTGCATTCCCATTCTACATATGCAGTAACTGAGGCTCAGGTCAGATGAGAGCTCAGACCAGGTGAGCCCAGGCCTGAAGTGATCCACTTACACCGTTTTGTGGCGGATGGAGAGACAAAGTCTCATCTTGTCTTCTCCATCCCTGGCTCCTTTTTCTATAGCAAGCCTCTGTTTTCCTCTGCCACGCCCCTGCTCATTTCTTTCCCCTTTGGGATATTGTTTTCCTACCTCTGGAGGGCCTGCTCGGTGACTGTCCAGTTCATCTCCTGTCCCGGGAACTCATGGTCTGGCACAGAGGACACTCAGTAAGTAGCTTTGTTGAGTTAGTGAGTTGCATTCATTAATGTGCCAGATTTGAAAGCACTGGTCAGGTTAGAGCCAGGGAAGGCTCATGGAAGGTAGGCCCAAGAGAGACAGAATTGATTGCATTAAAGCACAACTCTGGAGCCAGCTTCCTTTTTCAAAAATACATATTTTTATTATTGATTTCAGGAAGGGGGAGGGAGAGAGGTAGAAACATCAATGATGAGAGACAATCATTGATTAGCTGCCTCCTGCACGCCCCACACGGGATCGAGTCTGAAACCCGGGCATGTGCCCTGACTGGGAATCGAACCATGACCTCTTGGCACATAGGTCAGTGCTCAACCACTGAGCCACGCAGGCCGGGCTGGAGCCAGCTTCCTGGGTCAAATCCTGGGTCCATCACTTTCCAGCTGTGTGACCTTGAGCAAGTGACTTCACCTCTCTGTGCCTCAGTTTCTTCATCTTTAAATGTGATCATAACTTAAAGATTAAACAAGTTAATATGTGTAGAGTACTTAGAACAGGGGCTGGCACATCAGGAGCATCTAGAACAGCGGTTCTCAACCTGTGGGTAGCGACCCTTTCACAGGGGTCGCCTAAGACCATCGGAAAACACATATATAATTATATACTGTTTTTGTGATTAATCACTATGCTTTAATTATGTTCAATTTGTAACAATGAAATTGGGGGTCACCACAACACGAGGAACTGTATTAAAGGGTCACGGCATTAGGAAGGTTGAGAACCACTGATCTAGAACATTCAGACCTGCAAAAGTCATAATTTCACCCACCTTGCCTCCATGAAGGGGTTTTGAACCCTTACAGTTAAAGAAGCCAAGACTTGATCTTATGAAGGTACCAGAGGATTCCTTTCTCCTTCCTCGTTGGTCCCCTCACCCAGTAGGTGGTACCGCCTCATCAAGCCATCATACCCTCTGGTCTCTGAGGACCCAGTTTCTATCCTCTGTCCTGCTGGGTACCTCCTGGCTCAGAAGCAGCCAGACAACATGGATGGTGGAGAACTGAGTTCTGGTCCCTGCATCCTTTAAGTCTCTGAGCCACAGATTTCCTATCTGAGCAGTTGTAGTCACTTGATCATTCCACCCCTATTTATTGAGCATTTGCTATGTGCCAGACACTGAGCTGTGCTCTGGGCATACAGCAGGGAACAAAACAGACAAAATAATCGAAAAGATAAGTAAAAATCTATGTAATAACTACCAGGGGAGAAAAATTACTCAGGGATGGGGCAGAGAATGTATGTGGATGACAGGGAGATGCATTTTTTTAATTTTAATTTTTTTTTTTTTTGAGGGGGGGATGCATTTTTAAGTAGGTTAGCCAAAGGAAGGGCTCACTGGACAGGTGACATTTGAGCAAAGACCTAAAGGCCATGGGGTGGAGTCAGGTGGACACCTGGGGGAGGGGGGAGCATCCGGCAGAGGGAACAGCCAGTGCTGCGGCAGGACTGGCCCAGGCTTATTTGGAGAATGGCCTTTGGTGGACGGTGTGGCTGGAGCTGAGGGAGCGAGTGGAAGAGGACAGGTGATTAGCCTCGGGGGCCACAGTGAAGGCTCTCCTTCGAGTGATTTTAAACCACAGAAGGGTTTAAACAGACGCAGGACAGGATCTAATTCAGGCTCCGGCAGGATCTCTCTGGTCTCTGAGTGACGAACAGACTGGAGGGGACAAGGGTGGAGTGAGGATTCTCTCTTTAGAAGGTTCTAAAAGCATCGCCTGTGCTTCCGCGTAGCTAAGCTCCGAGACTCTAAGATGTTTAAGACTCAGAGGACTCTGTGTTCCAAAGTTCCCTTCTGCCCACAACAATGAGTTCCATGAGGTCATGGATGTTGCGTGTCTGTGTGTTGTGTGTCCACTGCTGTGTCCCCAGTACCTAGAGCAGCGGCTGGCATGTTGTAGGAATTCCACACGTAGCTACTGAAGGACTGAAGGAAGGAGGGATCCACCTCAGGGCCAGAGGCAAGGCCACGATTCTAAAGGTGAAGAAGCCACTCTTAAAGTGCAACTCAGACTCTTAGGTAACATCTGAGTCGGGTCAGAAAAGGGCAAGCAGGTCTGGGATGGGTGGGGAGGGGTGGGAGGACATTCTTGGTGCAGGGCCCCAGGCGCAGGGCCACCTGCAGAGTTTGGCTCCAGGGACCTGAAGGCGCTTTACAGACACAGAAACCCTGACCCGGGCCATCCTTTTTTCACCACGTGCATTTTCAGTGCCCAGCTGTGTGCTAGGAACACACAGTGGTAATGGAGACAGCCCTGGCTCTACCCTCCCGGGTCCAGCGGGGCCCACAGACTCATCCCCAGACAGTGCCGAACCAGAACGGGCAGGGCTGGGATGGGGGAGCCCAGAGGGGACTTCTGAGCCAGGTTGGGGTTCCGGGAAGGCTTCCTGGAGGAGGGGCCATTTGAGCTGTGCCTTGAAGCGTAAGTAGTTCTCCAGCAGAAAAAGGCACAGGGAAAGGGGTGTTTGAGAGGAGACTGTCCTAGGCAGCAGGAACAGCATATGAAAAGGCTTAGAAATAAGACCTCTTTGAAGAAAAGCCCGGGGTGGCTTAGGCAGAGAGTTTGAGGAGGCCTGGTCAGAGATGGCGCTGGAAGGGGGGGCGGACGGGCCAGGGCCAGGTCACACAAGGGGGGGCGGGTGGGCCAGGGCCAGGTCACACAAGGCCTGGTGGGATGTGGTAAGAAACTTAAACTTTCTCCCTAGGGCACTGAGGAGCCTCTGAGCAGGGAGGGGGAGGTCATATTTGCGCTTTTAGACCTCTCTGGGTGGACCCCAGTTGAGGGGGAATTGTGGGAATGGGGAAGGGTCAGAGTGTGTAGGAGCTAGGAAGGTCAGCCGATTAGCTGGATCGCTGATGTCTCCCTCCCTGGAAGGAGAAGGAAGCTATAAAAATCCACAGGGACTTTTTTTTTTTAAGTATCTACTGAGAACCCAGAGTTAGTTACACCTTCTGTGCGGGAGACCAGCCAAAACTTCAAGTTATACCGGGGACAGGGAGACAGCGCCATCTGGGGGTTGCTTAGGAGTCTGGCCAATGAACTGGGGAGTCTTAAGACTGGCAGCCTCTTTCAACGCAGCCCATCCCATCCAACACAAAAAACATTTTTATTGCGATAAAACACACATAAAACTCACCATCTTAACAATTTGTAAGCGTATGGCTCAGTAGTATTAAGTATATTCGCATTTTAGGCACACAATCTCCAGAACTATTTCATCTTGCAAAACTGCAACTCTAAACCCATTAAACAACTCTCCATTTTCCCCTCCTGCCAGGCCCTGGCAGCCACCATTCGACTTCCCATTTCTATTAAAAAAAAACTAGTGGCCAACATACCAATTGGGATAATTCTGATTTAAGAAAACATTTCTAACTTTTCTTGTAAAACTAAAGCGAGCTGGCTGACCATCCGGAAAGAGATGACCGGTTGGCAGGATTTGAGGAAGTGGGAAGGGGCAGCAGGAGAGGGACTTGAGGGCCCAGGCTGAGGCATCAGTCTCACCCTGGAAGGGGGGGGGGGGGGCTGGGGTGTTTATAACTGAACCCAAATATGAATGAGAAGTTAACAATGAATAGAAGGGTGGGATCCAACAAGGAAGAAGGGAAGGTGACTCATTTGATGAAAACTCAGTCCTAATGGGCACCTGGCTCTGTGCTGAGTGGCCTTGGGGACCCAGCAGTGACCCAGACAGGCTCCCCCTGCGTCTCACACGTGGGAGGACAGGATGGGTTCCTACACAGCAATGACTTGGAATGGTGGGGCTGGGGTGGGGGGGGGGGGGGGTGCCAGACTGGGGGGAGGCGCTGAAGGAGTGCAGAGCTGAGTGCAAGACCCAGTCTGAGAGATCAGGGAGGGCTTCCTGGAGGAGAGGAGGTCAGAGCTGAAACCAAATAAGAAAAAGGCTGGGAGGAAGGGCAAGGCTCAGGTTGGAGGGGTTGCTGACAACCAGCTCTAGCCTCCCCTTTCGTTCCCACCTCCCCAGGATGTCGCCAAGGCCCAGCTAGGGCCTGACTTCGGCCCCATGCGGCTCACCCGCTGCCAGGCTGCCCTGGCAGCCGCCATCACCGTCAACCTCCTGGTCCTCTTCTATGTCTCGTGGCTGCAGCAGCAGCCCAGGAACGCCCGGACCCGGGGACCCCGCCGCGGAACTGCCGCCGCCGGCCCCCACGTCACCGTCCTGGTGCGAGAGTTCGAGGCCTTTGACAACGCGGTGCCCGAGCTGGTGGACTCCTTCCTGCAGCAGGACCCAGCCCAGCCCGTGGTGGTGGCCGCCGACGTGCTCCCCTACCCGCCCCTGGCCCTGCCCCGCGTCCCCAACGTCCACCTGGCACTGCTTCAGCCCGCCCTGGACCAGCCGGCCGCGGCCTCGCGCCCGGAGACCTACGTGGCCACCGAGTTCGTGGCCCTGGTGCCCGACGGCGCGAGGGCCGAGACCCCAGGCCGGCTGGAGCGCATGGCGGAGGTGCTCCGGGCCGGAGGGGCGCGCCTGGTGGCCGCCCGGGTGGCCTCGGCCAACCCTGCGCGCTGCCTGGCCCTGAACGTCAGCCTGCGGGAGTGGAGTGCGCGCTACGGCCCCGCGCCCCCCGCGCCCTCCGCGCCCCGCTGCGACGCCCTGGAGGGGGATGCCGTGGTGCTCCTGCGCGCGCGGGACCTCTTCAACCTCTCGGCGCCGCTGGCCCGGCCGCTGGGCACCGGCCTCTTCCTGCAGACGGCCCTGCGGGGCTGGGCGGTGCAGCTGCTGGACGTGACCTTCCCGGCGGCGCGCCAGCCCCCGCTGACCACGGCCCACGCGCGCTGGAAGGCGGAGCGCGAGGGGCGAGCGCGGCGGGCGGCGCTGCTGCGGGCGCTGGGCATCCGCCTGGTGAGCTGGGAGGGGGGGCGCCTCGAATGGTTCGGCTGCAGCAAGGAGACCCCGCGCTGCTTCGGGACGGTGGTGGGGGACACGCCGTCCTACCTGTACGAGGGGCGCTGGACGCCCCCGTGCTGCCTGCGCGCGCTGCGGGAGACCGCCCGCTACGTGGTGGGCGTGCTGGAGGCGGCGGGCGTGCGCTACTGGCTGGAGGGCGGCTCGCTGCTGGGGGCGGCCCGCCACGGGGACATCATCCCGTGGGACTACGACGTGGACCTGGGCATCTACCTGGAGGACGTGGGCAACTGCGAGCAGCTGCGGGGGGCCGAGGCCGGCTCCGTGGTGGACGAGCGCGGCTTCGTGTGGGAGAAGGCCATCGAGGGCGACTTCTTCCGCGTGCAGTACAGCGAGAGCAACCACCTGCACGTGGACCTGTGGCCCTTCTACCCCCGCAACGGGGTCATGACCAAGGACACGTGGCTGGACCACCGGCAGGACGTGGAGTTCCCGGAACACTTCCTGCAGCCCCTCGTGCCCCTGCCCTTCGCCGGCTTCATGGCACAGGCGCCCAACAACTACCGCCGCTTTCTGGAGCTCAAGTTCGGCCCCGGGGTCATCGAGAGCCCCGAGTACCCCAACCCGGCCCTCCTGAGTTTGGCGGGAAGCAGCTGAAGCCCTGATCCCTGCGCCTGGGGTCAGAGGGACCGCCCTTTGTTTTGACGTTACCGCTGCCGGGCCAGGGAGACGGAGCTGCCCTGCAGGGCCTAGGACATCAAAGTCGTGCCCGGGGCCCCAGAGCTGGGACAGTTTTGGGAAGAGAAAGAGTGTAGGTTCTGAGGCCAGATCATCGTGATTCCAAACCCTGCTAAGTGGCCCTGGGCGGGTGTCCCGGTTCCTCTGTTCCTCGGTTCCCGCCAGGATTGCGTGAGTACTCGCTTTACCCGCCATCTCCGCGCAGGAAGAGCCCCGGGGACACGCGGCTGCTGGGGTTGCTTCTACCACTAGAGGGCGCCCTTGCCCGATCCTGGGCCCCAGGACTTTCTGTTCGGTAGCTTTGACATCTGCTGAGCCTTTGGGCTTCTACGCCTGGCCAGACAGAATGACCATCTCCCCTTCTTCCAAAATGCCACTCGCTTCCCTCCTGGGAGAGCCCTGGAAACGGGCTCCGAGCGCCGAGGTGCGACTGGCTGTGGTTAAGAGTGGGGTTCTGGATCCGAGCCCCAGTCCTTCTTAACTGTTACCTCATTATTTGAGCTTCCTGCACCTGTTTGCCTGCTTGCAAGGCACAGAATCAATACTCAGAGCTCACATCGACTGAGCACTTACTGTGTATCAGGCATTGTTCTCGGTGTTCCACACGGACTAACTGATCCGTCCCTCTCCTCAGCCCTCCCAAGCGAGAGCTGCTATTATTTCCTCCTTACAGACGAGGACACTGAGGCCAGAATGGTTAAGTCACTTGCCAGAGGCCAGACAGCTTAGCAAGGGGCAGAGTGGGACCCTGCACCCAGGCTGTCCGTCTGGGGCCCACACTGAAGGGGCCTGTGTGCCCCGCTTGACTACTGGGACCCAAGAGGCCCCCCTGTCTCTTAGCAGGGAAGGTGGTGGCTGCCTTCCTTCTGTGGTCATGCATCTCAGAGTAAATACTGTTTGGGCATGTAACCTGACGTGTGTATTTATCAGTGATATCCAGGTACTGCTGTCATTCTGTATATTAGTCATAAGGCTTAAATTATTTCGTTTTTACACTCAAAACCAATAGAGAAGTTTTGTTGACTTGCCTCATCCCAACCACTTGGTCCGCACCCTCTGGGTGTGTGCACCTGGCTTGTGAAACCACAGGCCCTGAAGTGGGAGGCCCCGGGTTCAAGCCCCAGCGCTGCGGCTTCCTCCCGCTGTGAGCCGGGGCCTCCGTGAGTCTGCCTCTCTGTACCTCTCTGCTTTGCCCCTGGGAGGTGGGGGTGATGAGCCTGCTCGCCCCACAGGGGGGCTCTGAGGCAGCTGATGGGTAAAAGGGTCAGGAGTCAGGGCTGGGTTTGGGTCCTGGTGTGGCCAACTACCTTCTTTGGGACCTTGGGCGAGTCCCTTCCCCTCCGACCCTATAGATCGGGCGAGTGAAGAAGCCCTTACAGAAGGAGGCTTCACACACCAGCAAGAAAAGACAAATGCAAATTTGGCCCTGTCTCCTAAGGCTCAGATGTCAAAGCCTGACTTCTTAGAACGCAGCCTCTGTCTTTAGCCTCTCAACGTGCAGAGAGCTCGCGAAGGGGCCGCTGGGTTCCCATCCATGGAGCATTCTGGAAATATGGTGGCGACTTGGCTGTTACCTGTGGTTGGGCAGTGCTCTTGGAAGACAGCCCAGGGGTGGAGGATGTCTTATATGCAGGGCACCTGCACACAATAAAGCAAGGTCCCTGGTCACATGCCGTTTTCAAATGTTTGTTTATTGATTGGTTTTAGAGAGAGAGGAAGGGCGAGAGGAAGAAACATCGATTTGTTGTTCCATTTATTTATGCACTCACTGGTTGATTCTTGTATGGGCCCTGACCGGGTATCAAACCGGAAACCTTGGTGTATTGGGCCGACACTTTAACCAGGGAGCTGCCCGGCCAGAGCTCACAAACTGTCCTCAAATGTCCCCTTGGACATTCACGAAGTGCAGGTGATGTTCAAAATATTTTGCATCTAGCATGCTAATATAAATTAATATATAAGTCAATATAGTCATCAGTTTTTTGGTTTTATATATTTATTTTTTATTGATTTTTTTTTTTTAAGAGGGAGAGGTGAAGGGGGAGGAGAGAAACATCCATTTGTTGTTCCATTTATCTATGCATTCATTGGTTGATTCCTGTATGTGCCCCGACCAGGGATCAAACCCGCAGCGTGGCGTATCAGGTCAACATTCTAACCAACTAACCTACCCAGTCAGAGCATGCATCAAATTTTTTAAGTATTTTTTTTTTTAGTTCTCAGAATAATAATCAAAATGATCTATCTATAGATTCATATTTCTTTAAGTTATGTGCACAGAACATAAGTTGAAGCTCAGCTCATTTTTAACTTATTTAATTTTATTTCATTTAGAAATTGTTGGTGTGATTTCTTGATTGACACAGCACACACACACACACACACACACACACACACACTCATATTATATACAGTTTAGTCTTGCCTTAGCTGTGATTTGATAAGGGAATCACATTCAAATGCTTCTAGCAACTTCCCATAAAATTGCAAATCATTAGGTGACTTAAGATTTCAGTAGATAAAAAATGGCTCTTAGTGTCAACCATGGTGTGTTTCGGTGTTTTCTCTTCACTGTTCCAGAACATAACAGCAGCTACATTTAAAACTTTTCTAGCCCTTATAATACAGTCTGATAGCTTTGTCTTGTCAATATTATCTTTATTACCAACTAATTATATGATAGAAAACCCATCACGACCATGAACTTGAACTAATGAATTGCTGTTACAATTTGACATTATTGCATTTTACTGCTTTCTCAATTGCTCTCATACCATTCATCAGCCAGAAGTACTTCAATATTTTAACCAGCACATCCTACCGGCGCATGCTAAGTAAATCTTGGCCTTACTTGTAAAGCCTGGTTAATAATTCTCTGAGCCCAGAGCCTAACTCCCTCTTCCTGCAGACTCAAAAGTGCTTTTTGTAAGGCGTGAACAGGTTCTGAATTTTCCAGGAAGTGCAGATCCATGTAAAATGAGGGAAGCCTGCATCGTGTTTTGTTCAAAACTTGGCCAAAGATTGTCAACAAGTTCAGAAGCATCACAGTCGCATGGCTCCTGGCAATTAGACACCAAGACCACGTGTCTGCAGCCGTGTTGGGAGCTGCCTGCGCTGCAGGTGTAAACATCGGGCTACCTCCTTGGGCTCTGGGGATAGGCATTCCCAATTGACATGCACGTTATAAATGTCTGCCCTCTTATTTCTCCTTTCACTCACACTTCGGGCAATGTGAGATTGTTTTTAAAATCGTGTGCAGGTGGGTTGGTGACATTATCCAGGAACTTTATTTCAGGAGAGCCAAGGGGACTTCCCCAGAGCTGACATTCAAGCCGGCACATGCACTGTTGTGGCCACAAACACGAAAACATTCCATTATGGATTATGAATCCATTGGCAGATGGCCACTGCCATGCGTCCCCTATTGTTACCCTCCTGGCTCCCCCTGACCCCGCAGCCAGGGGATTAACACTGGGCCCAGGAGGAGGGAAGGGGTCTGCGTCCCAGATGCTGTTGGAGGGGACAATGCTTTTACTAAGCTGTAAATATTGTGTGCATTGCCCTGGGCATTGCGAAATGTGTGCTATGGAAAGTGAGACCTGTGATCAAATGCACCTTTATACACAATGGCCCCCAAGTGGGGGCTGTTAACAGATAGTGCATCATCTGGACAAAGGCATACTCCTCCGCAATTAAAATAAAGGATGAACCGCTGATCCTATGCAAGAACAACCAACTCTCAAAAGCATCTCGCCAAGTAAAAGAAGCCCGCCGCCAAAAGTGACATACCGAGTCCACTGTGAAACTCGAATCCTCGGTGACCCAGATCAGTGGTTGCCTGGGCCCGGGGGCGGAGGCGGGCAGGTCTGCAAAGGAGCGCGGGGAGGTCTGGGGTGGCGGGGACATGGGGACCTGATGTATCTTGACGGTGGTGGAGGATTTTCACCAGTGTTTACATCTGTCAAACCTCATCCAATTGTCTACTTTAATGGATGCAGTTTATTGTATGTAACATACCTCAACAAGGTTGACCCACAAAAAGTAGGGGTGGGGGCAGGGAGGCCAACAGGCCTGGAACCATTGATCTGTCGCCAGGAGAGAGAAAGCGGGGTCATGTCGCTGTGCTGCCTGCCCCCCAGAATGCCACTCTGAGTCTGGAACCCAGGCCCAAGCTCCATCCAGGCCCAGCCTGAGCCCTCCCTCCCCAGCCAGGCTCCTTGGAAGGAGCAAGAGGGGTGGCCCCAGTCCCTGGCCAGATAGCTCAGTTGGTTAGAGTGTGGTGACCTTGTGCCAAGGTTGTGGGATTGATCCCCGGTCAGGGCACCTGCAAGAATCCACCAATGAATGCATGGATACGTAGAACAACAAATCGATGTTTCTCTAAAATAATTTTTTTTAATATATTTTTTTATTGATTTCAGAGAGGAAGGGAGAGGGAGAGAGAGAAACATCAATGATGAGAGAGAATCATCAACCAGCTGCCTCCTGCACTCCCCACACTGGGGATCGAGCCCGCAACCCGGGCACGTGCCCTGACCGGGAATTGAACCGTGACCTCTTGGTTCATAGGTCGACACTCAACCACTGAGCCACACCAGCCGGGCTCTCTATAATAATTTTTTTTTTTTTTTTAAGAGGGCTGTCCCAATAATAACAGAGGATTGGGCAATGGAAAAAGGGAGAGGGAGGTGAGCCTGGTCTAGGGAGTGGCCTCAAGGTGCGTGCTTTTTCTTCTCTTATGCAACCTTCACCTTTGGGTATGGCATAACAGCCATTGTCACCGGAGTGAAAGGCAGCCCTGTTTGCCCGAAGTCCCATCGCTGGCAGGTAACAGACGAGGGACCTGAACCAGCCTCCTGTAGCCAGGCAGTTCCTGTGTAGCTGGGGCCCAGTTCATTCATCCTGCAGACTGACTGGGTGCCCACTATGCGCCAGGTCCTGTGTGCTCTGGGCAGACAGCAGGGAACAGGCCTAAGGCCCCTCCCTCCGGGAGCGCACATTCTAGCAGGGACCAAGTCCGGAGCCACCTAAGCCCCTGTCTACATTGAAGAGGCTTGGGATGGTTTTAGTCCTTTTTTTTTGTTTTTAATATATTTTATTGATTTTTTACAGAGAGAAAGAGAGTTAGAAACATCGATGAGCGAGAAACATCGATCAGCTGCCTCCTGCACACCCCCTACTGGGGATGTGCCCGCAGCCAAGGTACACGCCCTTGACCGGAATCAAACCTGGGACCCTTCAGTCCGCAGGCCGACGCTCTGTCCACTGAGCCAAACCGGTCAGGGCGGTTTCAGTCTTTCTCTATGACCTTAGATCATCGTTTTAGGCAAACTAGTGGCATGTGCTCAGGTCATTTAAAAAATGGAACAGAAGCCGAAACGGGTTTGGCTCAGTGGATAGAGCGTCGGCCTGCGAACTGAAGGGTCCCAGGTTCGATTCCGGTCAAGGGCATGTGCCTGGGTTGCGGGCATATCCCCAGTGGGGGGTGTGCGGGAGGCGGCTGATCGATGTTTCTCTCTCATCGATGTTTCTAACTCTCTATCTCTCTCCCTTCCTCTCTGTAAGGAATCAATAAAATATATTTAAAAAAAAAAATGGAACAGAAAAGGGCGGCTAAAGTAGTTTGGTGGAACGTGGCCCGGTTATATATCCTTTGTACACACATGTTGTGTATGTAGATAGTATATGCAATATATTGCATATATAGGTATGTACCTCTTTAAACAGGCATCCCACATAACGTAAACTTAACTCATCCTCCAAAAAACATGCAATAGAAAATTTGAGGATAAACAACAATTTGAAGCGGGGGAAAGAATGCACTCGCTCCCAGCTTCCTCCAAAAACTCCACCACCAATTTCCCCAAATATTGACCAAACACTTAAAATATTTCCCTAACAACCCACCAAGCATGAAAAAACCCCAATTACTTAACTACCCGACACTAATAAACTCATTAATTGGCTCTGTTTGTATGCAATCTGCAAGTTTGCACAGAATCAGATAGGAGGTAAATTACCACACGGCAATGATTGCGAGAGGAAATGGGGGAAGAGAGGATCCTAAAGGTAATCCACCGGGACTGGTCTGCCTCCAGGCCCTGGCAGCACCGGGACCCAGGAGATAAGATCAGAATGTGTAACTCCTCCAGTAACACACAAGACCGGGTCCTGTCGGAACAGGTGAGCAGCAGCCGTCGCCCACATCCGGGACTCACCAGTTAACTGCCACGCGTCCAAAACGGAAACCATCCCACGCGCCACGATATTTCGAATTTAATAATAATTTAAAAAAATCAATTTGCAATGAATATTATAAAAATAAATATATTACTCACAATTCGGGCGTTCTTGAAAATTCTCCCGAAAAATGATTTAAAAGTTGGTCAGGGCTGCCACTTAGGCAAAATATTTTTGTAGAGGCGCCTGGCATGTGGGGAAGGGTCTGCCGCTTGCGTCTAGAGCAGCCGTGGGCAAACTACCGCCTGTGGGCCGGGTCCGGCCCGTTTGAAATGAATAAAACTATTGAAAAAAAAGACCGTACCCTTTTATGTAATGACGTTTACTTTGAATTTATATTAGTTCACACAAACACTCCATCCATGCTTTTGTTCCGGCCCTCCGGTCCAGTTTAAGAACCCATTGTGGCCCTCGAGTCAAAAAGTTTGCCCACCCCTGGTCTAGAGACACTTACGGTGTACAATGGGCTACTAGCTGCACAGCAGGTTTTTTTTATTTAAATAACAAATTTGGGGTTAAAAGAGCAAATCGTTATTGGGACTATTTGCAGTGAGCGTTCGGATATCAAGAGGCACCCGCCTTCTTACGTCAGTGATCACAGCGACAGGAATTTCTTCCTATGAGATGCACAACATTTTTCACTGGAAGATAATCTACATATAAGCGGACCCTCGCAATTCAAACCCGTGTTGTTCGAGGATCAACTGTGTACCAGTACTTGCTTTTTTTTTTTTTTGCCAAGCAGCCTTCAATCGCATAATGATCATTGTACCAGTTTATCCAAGGACTGTACCAGACTTCCTTCTGAATTTTGGCAAGTATAAAGACAGCAGCTATAAACAGTTGTACCCTGGTTTTTGTGTGAACAGAAGCTTTCATTTCTCTTGGGTAAATTCCCAGCAGTGGGGCTCCTGAGCTGTATGAGAAGTGTGTTTTATTTTGATAAGGTTGCCTTAGCCGCCCTGGCCACATGGCTCAGTTGGTTAGAGGGTTGTCCCGATAGGCCACTGTTGTGGGTTTGATCCCCTGGTCAGGGTACAAATAAGAATCAACCAATGGCCCTGGCCGGTTTGGCTCAGTGGATAGGGCATCAGCTTGCGGACTGAAAAGTCCCAGGTTCGATTCCGGTCAAGGGCACATGCCCAGGTTGCAGGCTCGACCCCCCCGCAGGGGCGTGCTGGAGGCAGCCAAGCAATGATTCTCATCATTGATGTTTCTATCTCTCTCTCCCTCTCCTTTTCTCTCTGAAATCAATAAAAATATATTTTAAAAAAATCAACCAAGGAATGCATAAATAAGTGGAACAACAAATAGATGTTTCTCTCCCTCTCTAAAGATAAAGAAAAGACTGCCTAGCCACTTTCCAAAGTGACTGGACCATTCTGCATTGCCACCAGAAATGCACGGGCTGTCCAGCTGCGCCACATGCCCGACAGGACGTGGTGTGTGTGTTGCCATCCCGGTAGGCGTGCATGGCATCTCCTGAGTTGCCCATAGTGTTGACGGACAGACATTTCCCTGAAGTCCAACTTATCCTGTTTTTTTTGTTTGTTTGGTTTAATATATTTTATTGATTTTTCACAGAGAGGAAGGGAGAGGGATAGAGAGCTAGAAACATCGATGAGAGAGAAACATTGATCAGCTACCTCCTGCACATCTCCCACTGGGATGTGCCTGCAACCAAGGTACATGCCCTTGACCGGAATCGAACCTGGAACTCTTCAGTCCGCAGGCCGACGCTCTATCCACTGAGCCAAACCGGTTAGGGCATATCCTGTTTGTTTTTTATTCCTGTGTGGCTAGTGCTTCTAGTCAAGTTCTTAAAAGCATCTGATTAGATATACTTGACAACTCTTTTTTCTTTTTGTTTATCCTCACCCAAGGATATATTTTCCATTGATTTTTAGAGAGTGGACGGGAGGGGGAGAGACAGAGAGAAACATCCATTGGTTGCCTCCTGAATGCGCCTGAGGTATGTGCCCTTGATCGGAATCGAACCCGTGACCCTTCAGTCCATGGGACGACACTCTAACCACTGAGCAAACTGGTCAGGGCTTGGCAAGGTTATTGCTAAAAAATGTCCTCTTGAGTGATAGCAGTGTTTGTCCTCAGTCTCCCCCTACCCAGAGTCCCGGGACAGGGTGGAGCATAACGTGGAGTCACAGCACCCACACCCACACCCACACCCACCACAATAACCAGCAAAGGAGCCAGCACATGTGGGATCATCCCATCAAAGAGGCCACAGTTCCACGTGGCGACCTGTGCCCTGGGCCACACCCTGAGATGGGGGGCTAGGACGCCATTTGCTGTTGGGTAACCTTGGGTGGGGGCAGAGGTTGAGATCAGGGAGGTTTGGGGAGACATTCACACCCACATACACGTACGTCCTAGCAGCAAAGCCTCACCGATCTGGGGCAGGGGCGGGAGGCTGGGCCCCTGGCTCCCCGGAGTGTACGGGCAGGGCCGCCAGAGCCCCGGTGTGTCCCTTTATCCATCTCGTGTGATTTGAATGTCCAAAGTGCCCCATCGGCAGGGAAGGTCCCGACTGAGCTTACATGACGGATTCCTTCTCGAAGCCGTCAGCATCCGCAGCAGGTCTCGGGTAGCTTTTGAGGAGGGGGTTCCCCTCCTCAATGGGAACGGGCATCGGATCCACACACGTCTTCACCTCGATCAACTGGGGCACCGAGCTCGCGGGCTTCGTCCGATCCACGTAATGCTGGAGGAGGCCCGCCCCAAAGGCGTCGCCTTCCACGTTGAGGACGGTACAGGACCGGTCCCTGAAAGGGGAGGAGTGACGGGGACATGAGTGGGAGGGGTGGGGCCAAGGCCCAGCTCCCCCCCTCCCCCCTGGGAATCATGAAGTCCCCCTCACACCGTCCTACACAGAACCCTATGCTATGGCCCTGGGCCCCGGGCATCCCTCCTCCTAGAGCAGTAGTTCTCAACCTTCTGGCCCTTTAAATACAGTTCCTCATGTTGTGACCTCCAACCATAAATTATTTCCGTTGCTACTTCATCACTGTCATGTTGCTACTGTTCTGAATCGTCATGTAAATATCTGATATGCAGGATGATCTTAGGTGACCCCTGTGAAAGGGCCGTTCGACCGCCAAAGGGGTCGCGACCCACAGGTTGAGAACCGCTGGCCTAGAGCCTCAAAGCCCCCACCCCCCTCGCCTCTGGAATGCCAAAGTGTCCCATCATATTCCCTCTGCCTCTGAACCCCAAAGGTCTCCTCCTCTGTCCTCTCCAGACCCTATTGCTCCTTCTTCCAATAAAATAAGATTTGTTCCTTCTGGAACCTCAAAGTCACCCCCTCCTTTTCTTGGGCCCCAGAAGACCCTCCACCTCCACCTCTCCTCTTCCCCCTGAAACACTGAGTTCTCCTTCAGGCCTTTCTCCTCAGAATCCTAAGGATCTTTTTCTTTCCTCTTTATGCTTTCTGTGTGTATGCGACATTTTAGAAAATGGAGCTACAATTCACATATCATAAAATCACCCATTAAATAGTGTACAGCCCAGCCCTGGCTGGTGTGGCTCAGTGGATAGTGTCGGCCTGCAGACTGAAGGGTCCCAGGTTTGATTCTGGTCAAGGGCACAGGCCCAGGTTGTGGGCTCAATCCCCAGGTGGGGGTGCGCAGGAGGCAGCCGATCAATGATTCTCTCTCATCGTTGATGTTTCTATCTCTCTCTCTCCCTCTCCCTTCCTCTCTGAAATCAATATAAAATATATATTTTTTAAAAAGGGGGGGCAATGGGGGGATAAGGACACATATGTAATACCTTAATCAGTCAAAAAAAGTATACAGCCCAGTGGTTATTAGTGTATTCAGAATTGTGCAACCATCACCACTATTTAATTCTGGAGTATTTTTACCACTCCAAAAATAACCCCCCACACCCATTAAGCAGCTATTCCCCCAGCCCTAGGCAGCCACTAATCTACTTTATATAGATTTGCCTATTCTGGGCATTTCATAGAAATGGAGTCATAGGCCAAGTGGTCCTTTGAGTGTGGCTTCTCTCACTCAGCATAATGCCCTCAGGGCCACCCACGAGGTAACATGGATGTATCAGTGCCCCATTCTGTAGTCCATTGGATGGATAGGTGACATTTTGTCTCTCTACTCACCAGCTGGTGGACACTTGGGCTGTTTCTACCTGTTCGCTTTTACGAATAGTGATTAATGGAATAACATACTGTGAACATCTGTGTACAGGTGTTTGTGGACATGTTCTCAAGTCTCTTGGGCATAAACCTAGGAGTGATACTGCTAAGACATACGGTAATTCTCTACCTAACTTGAAGCCAAACTGTTTCCAATCTTGTATGCTCTTAGTAGCTTGACACAGACAGCTGCCAATTATGTCTGCAGCATTTACAACTTACTAGGGGCTCTCGTAAGCAAGTTGCGTTTAAGTCATCTACTCTCAAGGAGGGGCTACTCTCCCCATTTTACAGATGGAGAAACTGAGAGAGTGTAAATACTAGCCAAGGTCATACTAGCTGGCAGTGGTGGCGCTGGGATTTGAACACAAGCAGCCTGGCCTAAGGGTCCACTCTATTACACACACTACCTTTCTGGGGTTCTTCTTACAAGCCCCAAGACCCCTTCCTTCCTTCCTTCCTTCCTTCCCTCTGACCGGATGCTCAAGGTCCCATCCCCTGGCCTCTAAAACTCCTGCCTTCCTCTCCTCTTCTGCCCAGAGGCTCTCCATGACCCTCGTCCTCATCCGCTTCCCCGGGAGGACCCCTGAGGCCCCCCCCTGGAGCCTCAAACCCACACTCACACTAGCCAGTCCACAGCCAGGATCCAGGAGATGTCAACAGGCAGACCGACCGCCTCAAGGATGATGGCCAGGGTGAGGACGCCTCCAGCGGGGATGCCCGCGGCGCCCACACTGGACGCTGTGGCGGTGACCCTGGGGGGAAGGGGGGAGAGGGGAGGTCAGGGAGGGGCCTCCCAGTGGGAGAAGCTACCGCAGGAGCCCTGCTCCGCCAGCCCGTGTCCACCCTCAGGGGAGGGGTCAGCGGGCCAAGCCACACTCACAAGATGGTGATGATCTTCACGAAGTCCAAGGGGAGCTGCTTGTTCTGGGCGATGAACACCGCGGCCACACACTGGAAGAGCGCGGCTCCGTCCATGTTGACGGTGGCGCCGATGGGCAGGATGAAGCGGCAGATATGCTTAGAGACGCCGTTCTTCTCCTCCACGCACTTCATCATCAGCGGTAAAGTGGCGGAGCTGCGGGGGACCACAGATCAGCCACCAGGCCTGGCCCCGCCCACCCACCAAGCCCCGCCTCCCTGGGCACGCCCACCCACCACGCCCACGCCCCCCGCCCACCAGCCTGGCCCCGCCCACCCACCAAGCCCCGCCCACGCCGCCCCGCCCACACGGCCCCGCCCACACGGCCCTCCTCCCCGGCCCACGCCCCGCCCACCAGCCTGGGCACGCCCACCCACTGCCTCCACCACCTCCCTGCCTCCACCCACAGGCTTCCCAGGGCCAGTGGGTACTAGGGATCCCGTATAACAGTGGTTCTCAACCTTGGCTGCACATGAGAATCACCTGGGGATCTTTTTAAAATCCTGATTTCTCCGGCCTCATTCTCCGGAAATTCTGTTTCTTTGTTATGGGGTGGGGGCCACAACATTAGTAACAAAGAAACATGTGGGCGTCCTGGGCACGCCGCTACTCAAAACACACACAAAAATTCATACCTAGATTCTATAATGTCTCAGAGCTCACTGACTCCCACCTGCTCTCTCCTCCAAGAATGGACCTCAGCTGAGAATTACTAACTCTTCCTGGGGGTTGCCACCGCGGGGATGGTCCCCTCCTGAGGGACAGGCTCAGCTGAGAAGGTGGAAAGAGCTCCCAGAGGTTGGATCCGGAGTGGAGCACTAGTAGTCATCGCCCTCCCCCCCACCCCCCGCACCCCCGCCGTCCCCCCGCCCCAGGCCAGGTCTTGGCGGGAAGGAAGGGTTCTCAGGGAGGAAGAGATCTCTAAGGCAGCAGTTTCCTAATTTTAGGGGGGCTGGGATCCGGGACCTTAGGAGAAACTTGGGAAAGTCCAGCCCCTGTGCCCAGACCCAACGTCCCCAAACACAGGGGCCTTCAGACATGACGTGGGATGCCTGCTCCAGGTCCCTTGGCTCTAAACTGCCCGAGGTCACACCTGGAGGCGGTCCCGAAGGCGGTGGCCAGCGGTGTCACGATGCCCCACAGGAAGCGGTAGGGGTTCTTCCGAGTGAAGAGGAAGTAGATGAGGGGCAGCACCAGGAGCCCGTGGATGGCGTGGCCCAGCAGGCAGCACAGGATGTATTTGCCAAGTTTGGCAAAGAGCTTCCCCACGTCGTCCCCCTCCGCGATCTTGCTGGCCACCAGGAACAAGATGCCCACGGGGGCATACCTAACACCCAGGAGACAGAGGGCAGCCTCTGAGCACGTGCCCACTCAGGGCCAGGCACGGGGCCCCACACACAGCCTGGCCACCGGCCCCCTCGGGGTCAGGAGGCGCCCGGAGCAGTGTGTGTGTGTAGAAACCTGGCACCTCCCCTGCCCTCCTCGTGCCCTCTCCCCTGGGAGATGGTGTGGCCAGGAGATCAAAGGAGCCTGGGTGCTTCCCTCGCCACTTGGAGTAGAGTCACCAACCAGCTCTGGACTTAACACATGACCGAGAGAGAAGCACGCACCACGCGTGAGTCATTTATGATTCCCGGGTTCCTTGTTACAGCAGCTGGTACGGCTTACACCACAGCGTGAAAAAGGAAAAGACCACGGCTCACGTCTTAACGACAGCTCCACGGCGTGAAGCCTGCACGATGTGCTGAGCCCCTGAGTGTGACAGAAGCTTCCCCACCAGGGAGCTCCTTTCTCGAGTCTCTTACAGCTGCCACTGAATTAACATTTGCTAGGCCCCCGAAACGCAGGAACAGTAATGCTCCCAACCTCATAAGAATGCTGAGAGGACGAAAGGAGATGCCAGTGGAAATGAGCTGAGTGCTTTTTAATAATTCATCTATAAACTTCAGCACCCTCTCCTGGAGTGAAGATCCCGGGTGTTTATGCCTCCCGGCCAGGAGGCCCCCCCAGGATTGCCTCTGGACTGCTTGATCGCTATTACCAGGTGTCCCCCAAACCCTTTTCCTCTTTTAGTAAGAGAAGAAAGGCACCGTGTCCCAGCAACCTGTGCCCCTGGGTTTGGCCAAATGCCCACGTTCTGGCCAGTGAGCGGTGCCAAGAAATTATATAAGTCAAGTACTGGATACATATTTAGCTAACATGGTTTTCTGCCAGCCTGCTATAGGCCAGGCACTGTCCCAGGCACTTTACACGTATTAACTTTGTGTGGGTGTATTAACTTTTTTGTGCCTGGTCCGCTCAGCCCCATTTGCCAGGTAGGGAAACTGAGGTACAGGGGGAGAAGTAACTGGTTGTCGGGCACAGCTAGGAACCCAGGCCACCCAGCTCTGACCCACAACACATCACCGCCTCTCCAGAAAAGTGATTCCCGCACAGCAGCTTCTTAGATGCCGGCTGCACTGCAATCAGGTGGGCGGGGGTATAGGGCTTGTTAAAAACGCAGCAGCTTGCCCTGGCCAGTTTGGCTGTGGATAGAGTGTCAGCCTGCAGACTGAAGGGTCCCAGGTTCAATTCCGGACAGGGGCACATGCCCGGGTTGTGGGCTCAATCCCTAGTAGGGGACATGCAGGAAGCAGCCAGTCAATGATTCTCTCTCATTTATGTTTCTGTCTCTCTCTCCCTCTTCCTTCCTCTCTGAAATCAATAAAAACATATATATTTTAAAAAAAAAAAAAAAAAAAAGCAGCAGCCCGAACCAGTTTGGCTCAGTGGATAGAGCGTTGGCCTGCGGACTGAAGGGTCCCAGGTTCAATTCTGGTCAAGGCCATGTACCTGGGTTGCGGGCACATCCCCAGTAGGGAGTGTGCAGGAGGCAACTGATCGATGTTTCTCTCATCGATGTTTCTAACTCTGTATCCCTCTCCACTCCTCTCTGTAAAAAAATCAATAAAATATGTTTTAAAAAAGCAGCAACTTTTCTGGCTCGTGTATCTCAGTGGTTGAGCATCAAACTATGAACTATGAGGTCATGGTTCGATTCCTGGTCAAGGCACAGGCCTGGGTTGCGGGCTTGATCCCCAGTGTGGGGCATGCAGGAGGCAGTCGATCAATGATTCTCTCTCATCATTGATGTTTCTAACTTTCCTCCCTCCCTCTCTGAAATCAATAAAAATATATGTTTTTAAAATTCAGCAACCCTGGCCCCCCTCCCAATTTCTGACCTTTAGATCCAGGGCGGGGGCCTGAGAATCAGTGTGAGGCTGGGGAGGGGACAAGTAGGGAAGCCAGAGGCCTGTGAAAATGTTTTTTTTCTCATTAACTAAGGGCATTTAACAAAACCCATAATGTAAGAGTTGTAGTTACAGGGCCGGGGAGGAGCCTGCAACTCAGATATGTGCCCTTGACTACAATGGAACCAGAGACCCTTCAGTCTGCAGGATGATGTTCTATCCAAGAAGGCCAAACCGGCTAGGGCAGTGGGTGCAATTTTAGATCATTGATCTAAAAGCAGATATGTGATTACCTTTAAATCTAAAACTGAGATGTGTTCGCCAGGCTGTGGCTATAGCTTGGCTGTGTTTTTGTCACCTTCCAGTAAGATCAAGGTGCTAGTATCAGTCTAAGTAAGCTTTCATGGAATACAGCACTGTCCTTATTTTATAATGAGGAAACTGAGGCACAGAGAGGGTAAGTCACTTGCCCAATGTCACACAGCCCTGGGATGGTCAATGCTGGCTTTGAATCCAGGCCTTCTGGCTCTAAGAAGTGCACAGGTCGCCCCATCCTACACCCCAAGCCCCCTCTCCCACCACCTACCACATGATCCAGGAGACCAGCACCATGGTGGCGTCATTGAAGGAGTTGAAGAAGCGGATGAGCAGCTCCCCCTCGGGCCCCAGCTTCCGCAGGCACACGCCAAACGCGATGGCAAACACCACCAGGCCCAGGATGTTCATACCCTCCACCTCACCCTCCACCTTTGGGCAAAGAACAGATGGAGATGGAAGGGGGATGCTCAGTCAACTTGCAAACTCACTGAGCAGTACTGGGACCCATCAACTCAGGTCCCTTCCTACCAAGGCTCAGGGTCCAGGTCCAGGGGAGATAGACCTACAACCATGAATCACCCAGAGTGGGCAGGGTTGAAATTGGAGAACCCTGGGGAGTGTGGGAACTGAGGGGGTAGGGGTTTTTGCCAGCTCAGGGGTGCGGGTAATCAGGGAGGGCTTCCTGGAGGAAGGGGCGGAGACCTGGAGAACAGCAAGGGTGAACCAGGTAAAGAAGGGGTGGCAGAAAGTTCTAGAGCAGTGGTTCTCAACCTTCCTAATGCCACCACCCTTTAATACAGTTCCTCATGTTGTGGTGACCCCCAACCATAAAATTATTCTCGTTGCTACTTCATAACTGTAATTTTGCTACTGTGATGAATCATCATGTAAATATCTGATATGCAGGATGTCTTTTCATTGTTACAAATTGAACATAATTAAAGCATAGTGATTAATCACAAAAACAATATGTCATTATATCTGTGTTTTCCGATGGTCTTAGGCGACCCCTGTGAAAGGGTCGTTCAGACCCCCAAAGGGGTCGCGACCCACAGGTTGAGAACCGCTGTTCTAGAGAGAGGAAATAATTTGCAACAGCGTAGAAATGAGAGCAACTTGGGCATTCAAAAAGCAGAAAGAAAAAAAAAAAAGCAGAAAGAAACCCACTGTGTCTGGAGTGGAATGAGTCGGACAGAATCTCGAGATGAGACTGGGAGGGCGACGGGGCAGGGGTCTGACCTCAAAGTGTCCTATGATCTGTGGCCAGGAGCCCGGGCTTTCTTCTGAGGGCACCCGGGAGTGTGACGGGGCTTTGAGCAGGGGGGAGGCAGGGACCGGTTTGAACTTTGAAAAGACCGCTTCAGCTGCCAGGCCTGGGGCAGATCTGGGAGGAGGCCAGGAAGGTGGGGACGGGGGTGGGGGTGGGGGTGGGGGACAAGAGCCTGGACCACAGTGGATAGTGGGAGAGAAGAGGGGTCAACATGGAGACTCCAGAAAGGCAGAGGGACTGACATTGGAGAAAGGCTGCCCAGAGTTTAAAACCAAATTACACACCAAATGCTAGACGACCAGGGGGTAAACAGAGGCTAGGGCCCCCCACCCTTCTCCTGCCCTCACCTTCACATAGGTTCCGTTGTCCTTTGTGTAGTAGGTAGAGTACTGCAAGGGGATTGGGAAGAGTCAGTGTCACAGTCATCCAGGCGCCCCCCCACCCCCACTGGCTCCTACAACGCTCAAAGCCTGCCCAGACGCCCCTTCACACATCATCTCATTCCTTCCCACCAGCAGCCCCACTGCGATAAGACTGCTCATGCCCCGTTTTCAGAGGCAGGAACGAGGTTCAGAGAAGTAAAGGCACTTGCCCAGCATCACACAGCTAGAATTAGAACCCCGTGGGCGCTGGGAGCCCGTATCCTCATTTATGGGTGAGGGGGGTGGATGGGTTTCAGAGGTCACCCCAGAACCCTGAAATAGTGCCTGTAAATATGTGAGCCGGTACCACCCACACAAGCACGAAGGGGCTGCGACTGGCTGTCTTCCTCCCTGCCCACCCCTCCCCCGTGGGGATTCCCCCGCCCCTTCCAGGACTCACTGAGCGGAAGGTTGCGGACACCAGGTTGGAAGGGAAGAGATTTCTGTAAAGATAGACATGGGGGCGGTTATTAGATACCTCAGGGGGGAAGTGGGGAGTATCTGCGGGGCTGGGTTGGCCTCTTGAGGTGGGCAGAACCTTGCAGGCCCGCCCATTGCCCCCAAATGTGTGCCCCCCACCCCCTGTGCCTCAGCTAGGTTCGGTCAGGCAGAGCAGAACCTGGCCTGCACGTTTATGGGGCGTGGGAGTTCGAGCTGGTCTCCCAGGGCCCCAGTAGGCTGTCATCCTAGCCCCAAAGGATTTCCGTGGCGGGTCAGAAATGCTGGCTTCCCCAGGCAGGCTGGGGCAGGGTCACCTTTGGCCTCAGCTCCACCCCAAGACGCAAACTTAATACCCTGCACATCTTGCATCAGCCACTTCCTCCGAGAAAAGGGCAGGCTGGCCCTGGGGGCTGGCCGGCGGCTCGGAGCGTTGGGAAGAGGTGGGGACAGAGGGAGACAAGAGAGGGCTGTGTGCTCATGAATGTGCATCCGTGTTCCCGCGGCCGCTTTCGTGATAGGACGTGCGTGTGTGACAGTTGGGGCGAGCCCAGCTGTCAGTGTGCGACATCACAGCCCAGGCCGCGTGTCTGCGTGTCTGCGTCCAGCTGTGTCGCTCGAGATATTTCAGCCGAGTCTGGGAGTGGCTGGCCAGAACAGATACAGAATTACAGCCGTTTTGGCACATGGGGAGGCCCTTCGGCATCAACAGCCTTCGGGTGGGTGTGCAGGTGGGCTGGTGCTCACCCTGGCCAGCCAGGGCGGGCCAGGCCCCAGCTAATCTCCCCTAGCCAGGAGGTGCCACCCACTGCAAGTCTGGGAGAGTTTCCCATCTCAGGCGGCACAGAGGCCGCAAGAGGTTGGGGGAACCCAGTTCCGTGACTCATCATCTACCTCCACCACTTCCAGGAAGTTCCCCACCAACCCGGAGACACTGAGTCAGCAGGCCCCCAAGGCGAGGCCATGTGGACCCAGCAGTCTGTCCTCTTTACAAGGAGGGAGAACCGTTCTTGGGGGTAAGGGAGGGAGGGGCTTGGGGAGCAGAGGCCAGAAGAAGAAGAATCTGCCCCTTGGGTAACTGGCCCCCTTCTGGCACCGAGGAGGGGATGGAATGGAAAGTGGTGGAAGGTGGCAGGACTTAACCAGGAACAGACCCTGAGTGGCCAGATGATTATGACCACCCCATCGGCACTTCACTGACACTTCCGAAAATACTGAATATTGAAAACTTCCTAAGCAAATACTCTCAAGGTTTTATTATTATTATTTGCGTAACTAATTCACTTCATTGTACTGATGGGGTGGTCATAATCATCTGGCCACTCAGTGTACGTCAGGGCAGCCACCCGGGCCCAGCTGAACGGGGTGGGAAGGGAGGCTGAGAAAAGAGCCCGGCGGTCTGGGTGGCCCGGGGCCTGGGAAGCGCTGAGACTAGGAAGAGGCCTGGTGGGGATCATGGGATCTATCCAGACCCTGGACTCAAACCTTCATCCGGAAGCCTCCCCCGGGGGCCCTTGGCCACCAAAACTCCCCTCGGGAATCCTCAGGATCCCCTCCCCTGAGAGGAGAGCCCCTCTATGTCCCCCAAGCGTTACTTTCCCTTTTCTCTGTAAGCACCCTCAGGTGGGGTCCCCCCTTATGTCCCCAGTCCCCCACATTTAGAAGCCTCCTTCCCGGGGGAATCTCTCCTCCCCCTTATAAGACCAGAGCTCCCCCCACCCTCTCCCTACAGTTTCCCGAGGCCCTGGAGGTCTCCACCCCCGCTCGTGGCCACGCCCCCACTCCGCCATCCCGAACACCATTCCCTCCCGACGTGGCTGAAGTCCCCTCTTCCCCGCTCCCCTCCCCCGCGGCGCCCCGGTTCTGACCTCACGAGATCCAAGAAGGAATCCAGCACCTCCTTGCTGGGGGCCGTGTCTTGCGAGACGTCGCTCGGGACAGAGGCGTTGCCGGCGGCGGTGCCGATGGCTGTGCCGGCGACCCCGGGCTGCAGAGCCAGCGCGATGCCCACGCCGAGCGCGGACGCTATGAGGGTGGTGACCAGGAAAAAGAGCAGCGCCCAGGCGCCCATGCGCCCCAGAGCGCTCGGGTCCAGGCTGGCGGCGCCGCCGATCAGGCTGCACACCACCAGCGGCAAGATGATCATCCGCAACAGGCGAAGCAGCAGCTCCCCGGGGAAGGCGAAGGCCGCCTGACGCGCGGGGCCCAGCGCCGCCGAGCCGCCGGACGCGGACACCCCCAGCCCCAACGCCACGCCCGCCACCACGGACACCACGGTCAGCAGCACCAGCAGGTTGGCGCGAAGGCAGCGGCGCACCCGGTCCCGGGAACAGCCGCCGCCTCCCGCCGCGCCGGGGTCCTCTTTGGGCACCGACGCCGGGACCCCGTTCGCGGAGGGCTTCGCGGCCGGCCACGTGGGGTCTCCCGTCGGCAGATCGGCCACCATCGTGAACACCCCGGGGTTTCTGAGAGTCTGGAAGCTGGGCGGGCTCGGGGCTTCTGCCTCGGACGAAGCCGACGTCCCTTAGATCGGAGCTGGGTAGCAGCTGGGGGCTGGAGCGCAGGGTCCCAGGCGCGTGTTCACGGCGCCCAAGTTCCTGGTTCTTGGCAGATGGGAGTGTCTGAGGTCGTGAGGCCGGCGCTGGGGCTCCCCTGCTCTGCAACTGTGTCCGGAGCCCGAGAGCTGGGTTTCTTGGCCGTGGGAGTGGGGGTCAGGGAGTTCCTGCAGGACTGGGGTCCTTGGCTCGGGAAGGAGGACGCGTGGCGCAGGTCCCGGTGGCGCAGATCCCGGACTCCTGGATCCGGGAGGCGGGGACCTGGAGTACCTGGTCCTGGAAGCGGAGGCCTCGGGAGCCTGGGTCTGGGGGCGGTAAACGGAGCTCCGGGGAGAGAACCAGGTTCGTGGGTCCGGGAGGGGAGCTCCGGGCCCCTGGGCGCGGAAGGCGGCGGTCCGGGACCCCGGGAGGTAACCGCTGCCAGCCCAGTGCAGCTCAGCCCGCGCGCCGCGTGGCTCTCGCTCGCTCGGCGGAAGCTGCTGCGATTAACAGTGAAGACCAGGGCGAGGTCGGCGCGGGCGGGACCGACCCGCGGGCTCCGATTGGCCGCGGCGCGCCCGGGAGCCGGGCCGAGTCCCCTTAGGGAGCTAAACCGAGGACCGTATCCAGGGGCGGGGCCGGGCGGGGGCGGAGCCCGAGAAGGGCGGGGCGTGGGGGTCTCCAAAAACTGCGGGTGATCCCCCCTGCCCCCCCCGCCCCCCGCCGTGGCTCCTTCGCAAATCAACTTCGCCTGAAACTCCTCCTTCGCCCTAAAGGCCCTAAAGTCGGTCTTTTAATCAGCTCTCGGGACTTCAGTCCCTCCCATGTAAAATGCAGATCCCTCACACGAGTGGTGTGATGAGATGGAGAGATTTATTTAATAATATGAATAGTTTTTCCTCCCTGACCTGGTAGCTCAAGTTGGTTAGAGCGTCCTGTTGTCCAGACATCCCAAGGTTGCAGGTTCGATCCCGGGTCAGGGCACATTACAAGAAGCACCCAATGAATACATAGATAAGTGGAACAACAAATCTCTCTCAAAAAAAAAAAAATTAATGATTTTTTAAATAATAAAATAAATGTTTCCAGTTCAGAGCCCCACACATCAATTAATAGCAGTTATTATATATCAGGATTGTAATCCACTTCCCCATAGGTACACAATTTGCAATTCATCATTAAAAATTATAATTCAATGAATGACTGTGCTAATGCTTTCAACATATATTTCCTCCCATATTTTATTTTTTTTAAAAAATATATATTTTATTGATTTTTTACAGAGAGGAAGGGAGAGGGATAGAGAGTTAGAAACATCCATGAGAGAGAAACACCAATCAACTGCCTCCTGCACACTCCCTACTGGGGATGTGCCCACAACCAAGGTACATGCCCTTGACTGGAATCGAACCTGGGACCCTTCAGTCTGCAGGCCGACGCTCTATCCACTGAGACAAACCGGCCAGGGCTCCTCCCATATTTTATTATGAAAATTCTCAGCCCTGGCCAGTGTGACTCCGTTGAATCATCGTCTGGAACACCAAAAGGTGGCGGGTTCAATCCCCTCCATCCCCCCACCCCTCCACTCCCCCCACCCCGTCTGGGCACCTACAGAGGGAACAGATCAATGTTTCTCTCTCTCTCACTTCCTCTCTCTCAAATCAATAAAAACATAGGCAAAATAATAATAATAAATAAAAAATAAAAACATAGGCAAGGATTTAAAAAAAAGAATAGCCCTAGCTGGTTTGGTTCAATGGACAGAGCATCAGCCTGCGAAACAAGGGGTCCCAGGTTGTATTCGGTCAAGGGCATGTACCTCGGTGTCAGGCTCCTCCCCGCCCGGGGCCCTTGTCAGGGTTCCTGCAGGAGGCAACCAATCGATGTGTTTCTCTCACATGGATATTTCTCTCTGTCTTTTCCTCTCTCTTCCACTCTCTCTAAAAATCAGTGGAAAAATTTTCTCGGGTGAGGAATAAAAAAAAAAAAATCTGTTTAAAAAATAAAAGAATATTTTATAGCTAATCTATATACCCAGCACCTACAATTATCTACCATACTTTTATCCATTTATTTACCTCTCTAACCATCCATCCATTCACCTTTGTTGTTGTTGTTGTTAATGTTTTTGTTAATCCTCACCTGATAATATTTTTTCTTTTTTTTTTTTCTGCTCCCCAAGGATATTTTTTCTATTGATTTTGGAGAGAGTGTAAAAGAGGGAGGGAGGGAGAGAGAGAGAGAGAGAGAGAGAGAGAGAGAGAGAGAGAAACAGAGAGAGAGATAAAGACATCATTGGTTGCCTCCTGAACAGGATTGAAACTGCAACCCAGGTTCCTGCCCTTGACCGGGAATCGAACCCACGACCGTTTGGTGTGTGTGGGCCGAGCTCTAACCACTGAGAAAACCGGCCAGGGCTCACCTTCCCTTATTTGAACAATGACAAAGTACGTTGTGGATATCAGTGCACTTTCCCTTTAAACACTTCAATGTGCATTTACTAATCAGATTTTAATGTTTGTTCGAAGCCCTTTTCTTCTTTTTAGGTAAAATTTACATACAACAAAATGCACACATCTTCAGTGACATTCACTGGCTTTCGACAAATGCATATGCCTGATTTCCCTGGAATCTTCATAACTGCTTGGTGAGGTTGGTCCCACTTATACCCATTCTCCAGATGGGTAAGACTGAGGCTTATGGCCAGAGAAGTCACTGGCCTTGAGGCCACACTTGGGGAGGCTGGGAGTTGCATGCCTGTCTCCCAAGGCCCTAACCCAGTGGTTCCCAACCTTTTTTTTGGCCGTGCCGCACCTAAGCATCTCTAAAATCCTGATGCCCCCTGTGACATATACGTCTTATTATTCAAAAGGTGAACTCCAACCGTAGTTGGTTTGGCTCAGTGGACAGAGCGTCAGCCTGTGGACTGAAGGGTCCCGGGTTTGATTCCAGTCAAAGGCACACGCCTAGCTTGTGGACTCAATCCCCAGTAGGGGGCGTACAGGAGGCAGCCAATCAATGATTCTCTCTCATCATTGATGTTTCCATCTCTCTTTCCCTCTCCCTTCCTCTCTGAAATCAATAAAGGTATATATTTTTTTAAACAGTGAACTCCTTTTCACATGGAGGAAGCCTCAAGGCCATTAACTTGGTCTAAACATGGCATCCAAGAAAGAGAAAAATAAAAAAATGAAAGGACAGTTGAAGGACTAAGAAATTGTTAAAATAATAATAATAGGAAGTGACATAAAAATAGCAAATAAAGTTTTAAAACATAATAGAAAACTGAAATGCATAAATATGTCACAATATATATTTATATACTGTATATGAGGCTCTTAGAACCATAAGAAATGCAAAAAATTCACTGTTAATAACTCATTCTTTAATTGCCCCCCTAAATCAAATTGCCCCGCTGTGGGGCATGTGCCCCATGTTGGGAACCACTGGCCCAACCATACCTGCGCTGCCGCTTCCCTAAATTCCTTCGTGGTGGTTATTTGGGTCATTTGCAGTGACGCTGCCATGACTCCCTGCTCCTCCTGGCAGTGCTGAGATCCTAATTCCTTCCCCACCTGTCCTGTTCTTTGGTAACATTTCAGGGTTTCACACCCGCTCAAAGACTACAGATAGCTATAACCTCAAAGCTTCCTCCTGGCCGAAACCGGTTTGGCTCAGTGGATAGAGCGTCGGCCTGCGGACTGAAAGGTCCCAGGTTTGATTCCGGTCAAGGGCATGTACCTGGGTTGTGGGCCAGGTTCGATTCTGGTCAAGGGCATGTACCTGGGTTGTGGGCACATCCCCAGTAGGGAGTGTGCAGGAGGCAGCTGATCGATGTTTCTCTCATCGATGTTTCTAACTCTCTATTTCTCTCCCTTCCTCTCTGTGAAAAATCAATAAAATATATTTAAAAAAAAAAAAAAGCTTCCTCCTGTAGCAGCTATGGCACCTCAGTCAAGTCACAACCTCTGTGAGCCTCAGTTTCCACATCTGTACAATGGGAAGAATAGTAATAGAGCATACCATCTTGGGTGTTGTGAGGCTCAAAGGAGATCAAATGTTCAAAGCATTTAGACAGGGTACAGGGTACAAAGCATTTAGCCCTTAATAAAGGGCTAGTACTACTATTATCGTTGTGGTTATGGTCATTATTATTGAGGAACATGGCTAGGGCGGGGTCCAGCTCAGGACTGGCGGACCGGCTCCCTACGCGGCTGGGTTCTGGTGGTGAGCGATCCCTGCTGGTCCCCAGACTTAGAGCTGCTTGGGAAGGTGCTTGGAGGACTTGTGGTGACATCTGCAGGATCTGAGGCGCTGGGGCCAGGCCGAGCTGAGAAGCGGCCCAGCCTCTGAAGGGCCTTCTTCCTGTGCCGCTCAGACACCCTCCCCTCCCAGATGCTCCCAGCCTCAACGCCACCCACTTCAGAGAGTCCCTGTCCCTCATCCCACCCTCTTCTCAGACATCATATTCACTCAACAAACTCACATTAAACTCGGGGCGAGCTCGGTTCTTTGCAAGACGCTAAGTGTGGGTGCTAACGCCAGAGAGACGTGGGTGTGAATTCTGACTTCCCCGCTTACCAGCTGAGCAGCAGTTTCCTCCTTTGCCCTCCAGTCAACGCGAGTGTGGACTTGATCACGAGCACAGTGATCCCCTGTACCAAACACGAGGGGACCATTCCTGGGCTCTCTGGTCATTCTACAAATACTAGAGGCCCAGTGCACAAATTCATGCACAGTGTGGGGGTCGGGCTAGCCTGCCCGGATTGGGGCTGATCGGGAGTGGGGCTGGCTAGGGAGAGGGGCCGCAGGCAGTTGGCCAGCTGGCCCTGCCCCCTGGTCCAACTCCCGGTCCAACTCCCAGTTGACGGGACAGTTTGCAGATTAGCCTTTTATTATATAGGATTCCAGGAGCCCTTACTGAGGGCCCAGTGCAGTTCCAGGGGCTGGGGATTCAGCAGTGAGGGGGGGCGGGGAATTAAAAAGAAAAAAAGAACAGACAAAACTCTTCGCCAGGTTCTAGTGAGGGGAGACCAGGAAATCAGCCCGGCTGTCGGGCGGGAGGGAGCCGCAGAAAGCTACAGCGTTGAAGGCAGAGAGAAGGAGGAGCTGTCACAATGGGGAAAGTGACATTTGCCAGGAGACCTGAAGGTCACGAAGGAGCCCAAGGGGACAGGATGATAATGGAAGGATGATGATGAACATGCAGGTGAAAGGGCCCAGGGTTAAAGGGATGAGCAGTACAAAGCCCCGAGGCAGCAAGAGGTGACGCTGCCAGACCTTATCTTGTCACCGCTAACCTGCTAACCTAACCGTGAGAAGCCACTCTTCCTGTTTACTAAGTTGGATGCAGACAGAGGCAATGAGGCTCCTTGTGGCCCACACCCCTTATCTGGGCAGGGGATTGGCACGCAGGTGTCTCTGGCCCCAGCCTGTGCCCTCCACCCCTAGGGGACACCACAGCTGCCCCTACACGTGTCTCCCCGCTCCCCCAACCAGAGACCTTTCCTCAAGGGACCGTCATTTATGCTGAGCACATTGCTGGGCC